CCGCAGCAGTCGACTGCTTTCTCGGAGATCCACCGGAAGATGGAGGCTGACAAAGCTGACCTGTTTTTGTCTGCTGATCGTGTCCGGGTTTTGTGATCTGTCATTACCTCGGCCGCTGTGGGTGATCTTTTGGGACTGGAGCTGAAAAGGAACCTGTCTGTTGGCAGAAGCACGGTGAGCTAATATTTTCATTAGCACCTTATGCTAAAGAGCTACGGCTAACTTTTCGGCCCACACAYATTGAAATTGTAAATTGTTAGACGCTGGTCTGGCTTTCTGCGGCTGAATTGACCCTAGCCGAGGTAGATATTGGGAGCGTTTTTTTATTCCATATCGAGTCAAAACAGGGAGCTCAGCTTTCTGTTTTAATGTAGCCAAAACGAGGTCCGGGGAGCTGAGAGTTGCTGTCTAACAACATCTGTGTAATTCACAGGAGGACTAGATCTAGGCTTACTTTAGAGTTTAGCTTAGGTGTGACAAGAGGAGGGGGGTGCTATTTTCCTTTGGTTTAATTTATTTAGACTTTAGGTTTAGCTTTTGTTTGTTATTTTTTGTTACACTTTTGTTTTTTGTGTTCTCTTCCTTGCACAAGCCAGCTCATGCCAGTAATCCATACATTTTCTGTTCATGCCTTATGGGCACTGTGGGTTTTTGCTTTTGGTGATTTTGAATTGCATGGGGTGGGAACTGAATTTTACACATTGTCCTAATTTGCATTACTTAGGGTTCATTTATTGACAACAAGTTGTTATTGAGTTAACACTTTATCCAAGATAAGATTCTGATGGAACATAGGCGGCTCACGAGATCAAATTCGCTGGGAGGCAGAACTTGTGTTGTGATACATTGTCTAACTTTGGACTTTTAAGTTTTTTAAATTTCGACATGTCTGTCTTCGATGATTCTTCTGATGTGTAATGCTGTCTCATTTGTCATTTAAGCCTTTTTCCTGTTGTATCTTACATTGATTGAATGGATATGTTGTTGGTCGTCATTTAACTTGCACTATTTTTCCCTTATTTCTCCTCTGTATTTGTTGTTGGGTGATACATTTGTGTTTGGACGTTTCATAATTATTCCATTTGGTTTGGTTTTGAGTATTGTTTACTCAAGAGGAGGGAGTGTTATGGACTAATTATCTATCTGGTTCACCTTGAYGCTGTCCAGTATTCATATATCTTATGATCAWTGTTAATCTGTGTTGGCCCAGACAACAGGACTCCAGCGAGGGACTGACCTCTCTTGTTTGATAAGAAACTCTTTGAGCTGAGAGCTCTGTGATTGGTTGTAAACTGTCACATGGYGTTAACATAATGTTATATTACTGGCTGTGTCCGCTGACATGTCAGCCACAAGCCGACGGAGTCTCCTGATTGAGTTCTGTCTGTTTGTAGCTCAGAATTAAATTATTATTGACCACCATACACGCAGACTTTCTGTGCATTATTCCAACGTGTTTCTGCATTCTTGGTAAATCATGCGACGACATTTGCATATACTTATGTATATTTGTCTTTCACAAAGTAATCACAACTTTAACATGCAAATTAATCAAATAAGTTTTTTGTACAGTGCTGTGATTTAATTTCATAAAATAATAGATTCTCAATGTTCTGGAGTTTATCTGAAACTGAATCATCAGTGTTTGAGTCAATGTTTATCTACAGCTGTCCAGCAGGTGGCAGTAGAGCACCGGATGGATGGTGCTAGTTTTATATGGACTTGATTTGACTGCTTTATGTTTTCAGTGTTTCTTGAGCGTGGTGCAATGATGCAGTCCAGTTGTGTCATAAGTATTTACTGTATTCAAAAAGTAATAATAATAAAACAGCGCATTGCGACTTTAATCATCTTTTTATTTCAGCTGTTCCCTTTTCGGGGGTCACCACAAGCAAGTCTTCTGTCCTCACTCCAACTTCCTCTATGCACTCTCTAACAGCATCTATATCTCCTCTTTGTCTTTTTTTCCCCCTGGTAGCTCCTTCTACCAATATACTGTACACCACCTTTCACCATGCACTTTTAACAATAAATTAGGAATAACTCAAAAGAAGTTTTTCAGTGAGGTCTGGAACATTTTAATCCACAAATCTAAGTTTGAACATTTTATTGTGACTCTGGTTGGATGTTAAGTGTTGTTGTCCTGCTGGGAGGYGAACCTTCTTCTGCAGCCTCTGGATTTTCTTGCACGTTCTGTCAGCTTAGATGGGCAACCATGTTTTGTCAGATTTGTGCCACTTACAGTACTTCTCATTTAACAGACTGAACCGTCAGGGTTCTATCATTTTTCTGTTCTTCGTTAACTTTTCCTCCACATGATGAGCCTGAGAGGATGTTCTCAGCGAACTGTCACAAATATCTTACCTGCTGTAGATAGACATTTGATAAACCTCACTTCAGAAAATAAAACACAATTTTGATCAAAGTTTACTTTGGTCTAATTACAGATTAAAAACAACTGAAATTATGAACAAATATGTGTAAAGTTTAGTTTAACCAGTGTAATAGACAAAATGAAAACTGTTATTTACTGTAATAGTTTAGATGTTTTATAATGTTGTTTTTGGCCTGTAATCAAAGGTCAAATGGGACAATAAGCAACAAAAGCCACAATGACTCAGTGCTGTTCAGAAAATTTGTTGGTTTTATTTAATAAATTTACCAAAAATCACTCTATTTCAGTTATTCATGTGATCACTGTGGTAAACAAATGACTAACAGACAAGTCACTTTAAAAAGCACCTATTTTGGTCAGTGTTCATTAAAACCAAAATATTCCTCACATTTTTGACACAAAACCAACAGCTGACTGTGACAACGACACAAAAAGGATTCAGAGACCTCACTCATCATGATGTTGGATTAGTAACAGAGACATTCACTGCAGAAGTGTGACTGAGCATCACACAGCTGAGGAGGAAGACAACCTGCTGCTTTTCAAGTTTCTTCATTTCTGCATTCTGAGGATACTCAGCAACACACACACACACACACACACACACACACACACACACACAGTGAGATTGTGTGTGTGTGTATGTGTGTGCGAACAATCAAAACTGCACTCCATTTGAAGCTGAAACTGTTTGTTTTGGAACATTAAGCGGTAGCTTACACTTTACTATTGCATACAGCGAAACTGAGAACTGGTTATCTGCACTAACGCCTCACAACATAATTTATTATTGCACGCTTGCACAAGTATGTGCCGTAGTCTTGCGTGGTTGATTTGTTTTTGTTTTGTACTGTTGCAGTACCATGCACTTCTTCCCACGCCTTTTCGACACGTGATCTATACAAAAAGTGTAGCGATATTTGTGCACTTTTTCATTTTATTTTAGATTTCCTTGTATGTTCTTCTTTATCTGTCGTTTAAAATTATTGCTTTTATGTAGGTTGGTAATATAGTTGAAAAAAACTARACAAACACGTGTTTGCACATGTGCACTTTATGTTTAGTGAAACTGTTTTCTGGTAGCACCTCGGTCATGGCGGATCGTTGTGTTTTACTGTGTACTGTGCACTATGAAGACAAGGGCCTAACTTTAGGTTTACCATTGGGGGTTTATGCTCTCTGCTTATTTTTTTTTTATTTATTGAATACTTTTATAAAACGATTCAGGAAATTTTGGTTGTATTGTCAAAATACATTGTAATACTTTTACTGTGCTTTACTTAACTTTCCTGTTTATTTTGGGGTTTGTTTGTTTGTTTGTTTGTTTGTTTTGGGGGGTGCATTCACTCTGCACCTTTTCTGTTACACGTTAGTTCAGCAATAAGACAGGTAAACAGACTGTACTTATATAGCACTTTTCTATCCATCCAGGACACTCAAAGCACTTCACACTACAATCTGTGTCCTCATTTACCCATTCACACAGCACTCTATGTTATGTGTATGTAAATGTTAAAATCAGGTCAAAGTTACCTAAAGACAAYAAAAGAGTTGCAGCTGTGCATTTAACCAGTTCATTTCTAGTGTGTTAGAGCTGAGTTAGAAATGTTGTAATTTGATTGGTACATTGTCTGGATCAAATTATTGTGTGTAGTTTGATTTTCATCATTGTTAAGGATTTATGTTGCATCATAGCAAGAAGGCAGAGTCACAAGCTGGCTGAGTTCTTTATGTATGGAGCTTACATGCTCTCTCATCTGTGGGTTTTCTCGGAGCACTCCAGTATCCTCTCACTGATCAAAAATATGCATCTTAGAATCACTAGTAACTTGAAATTCTCACTAGTAAAAAACATGAATGGTTGTTTCTGAGTACAGAAGATGGATAGTCGTGTTTTTGCTGTGTAGAGTTTGCATGTTCTTTTTGTGCTTGCATGGGTTTTCTCTGGGTTTCCTCCCACAAACCAAAACATTCATGTTAGGCTGCCTTCAGGCCCAGGCCTCCCTTGCAAAAGAATGAGATTTCACTTCTTTGATTTATTTGATGTATTTAGCTGGCTTTGGCGTTAAAAAAACCTGGGGATCCCCTCTCTTATTTCTGAAGCCCAGTGTTCATCTGCGTGTGGGGGAGAAGCTGGAGGGGGAGGTCACCAGATTTGTCTGGTTAAATAAAAGTTAATTCATTAAACATTGTCACCTCATTGTCCTGTATAATTTCCAAAGTCTAACAGAGCACCTGTATCCAATCAGTAATCAAGACACCTGCTGTTATTCATATATACCTCGTGGTATTCATCTTCGTTTGATTCTCTGTTTTCTCCCATGAGCCTCTGGACTTATTGACTTGAGTTTGTGCTTCTCGAACAGCTTTGACTCATTCCACATGGGAAAATGTTTCCATCCAAACCACAAAGGCTTTGGTACACCTGATACATCAATTATGCTGTAAAAGATGGCCAGTGGTCAGCGCACAGTTGTTCGCTTGGTGGAGTATGACCCTGTGACCTTGTCCAAGTTATCCCATCTAAGTTCCAGCACCTCCAGGACTGTCATCTTTTTATTTACTGCAGCTCTTTGAATTGAAAAAGGGATGGGAAGCGAAATGTCTTCAACTTTATAAATGAAAGTCCAGTTGTTTTTTGTTTGAAACTCTTTTTTTGATTTACTGCAGCTCATTTTCTGAAGCTATGATAGTGATTATATCATATGTAGCTACAGTGTGTAAGGATTTTAGGACTCCCTGCTGAGTGTTCACAAAATGAGGGAGAGGTTTGCCCATGGGAACAGGAAAGGTTATCCTCAAAAGAACACACCATTATCGCCATTTACTAGTGAGGTAAAGAGAATGGGAAGAAAGTGTGTATATCTGGTTGTGTGTGTGTGTGTGGGGGGGGGGGGGGCGCACGACACGTTTTTGCTACATCATTGAGACTGTTTTCCAGAAAAACACAGCCTTGTGAGGACCCAAAGCTCCTCATTAGGGTGAAAGCCAGGTCCAGGTCCCTACGGGTACGGATGCTGATTTTTGGGTGGGGGGTCCAGTTTCGGACCAAGGTGTGAATTGAGTTTAGGCTAAATTTAGGGTCAGATAGTACTGGAGTGGTTAGGTTTAGTTAAGGGTCAAGGTTAGGCTATAGAAATTAAATGAATTCAAGTCAATTGAAGGTCCCACAAACAAACCTGTGTGTGTGGGTGGGGGTGTTTCTGGTGACATTTTAAGGCAATTTTAAGACAAAATACCTACCTTTGGGGACAACTGGTGCATTTGGGGACAAAAGTTGAGTCCCCATTTGGTTTAAATACCATTGGTGGGTTGGGGGTTGGGTTTAGGACCAAGATGTGAACTGAGTTTAGGTTAGTTTTAGGGTCAGGTAGGTACCTGTGAGGTTAGCCTTAGGGTTTGTGGTCAGGGTTAGGCTGTAGAAATGTAATGKAAGTCAATGGAATGACCCCAAATGGATAGCTGTACAAACGTGTGTGTTTGAGGTGAAATGTGTCTCACAGTTGCAAAAAAACAAACAAAAAAAAAAAACAACAAAAAAAAAATAGCATTGGACACCTTTGACTCAAGGCGCACTGATAAATGGGCTGGCCAAATCATTGGAACAAATTTTCTTAATTTTGGGAGATCAGAGGATCCTTAGATAAAATCGGTGGAAAAGATCGGCTTCTTGTCTACCTCCACAAAGRTCTAAAAAAATCAGCCACTGTCCCTTTTTGCTCTGCTGGGAGCACTAATGTCMAGYTAAAATAAGTTTGTACAGTTTCAAGGGTATTGTTCAATGTTGTGTCCTTGTGTTCTTGGGCAAGACACTTCACCCACCTTGCCKGTGGTCTGAGGGTCCGGTGGCRCYGGTGCATTGCAGTCCCACCTCGGTCAGCGTGCCCCAGCACAGCTGTGGCTACAGTGTAACTTACCACTATCTGTGTGTGAATGACTGTGTAAAGTGATTTGGTGCAGTGCTACATACTGTAAGTTTAGACCATTCACCAAAGGTGATTTATGATTTTGTAACACCTGGCAGTATCAGCTATAACAGGAAGGTTAAAGCGGTTAACGTCATCATTCATTCATTTGCCTGAAGACAGATCTGCAGGTTTCACCTGGGATCAGAGCAACAAAAGGAGAGCTATCAGTTAGAAACTCCAACATTTGGGTCCCATCATAACTGCTGATACATTTATCAGTAAAATAATCTGTGACTCAGCCTTTAATTTACATTCAGAAAATATACTTTTGATACTTTCGCCTATTCAGCATTCATATGTTTATAAACTTTGGGAAAATATGAGCTGTCAGTGAGCGGTGCTTACTTGAATGCGGTTAACACCATCACAGGTGCTTGTGCATTTGTATTGTATGTGGATGTGCTTACGCACTGGCTTAGAAACAGAAAAAATTTCAAAAAGATTGACTAAATCAACTTTAACACTAAAAATAACCATTGGAATCAGAAACGGTTACATTTTACGTAAATCGTCACCGCTAATAATGCTTGGGTGGGTTAAGGGAAAATTTGAATTACAGGAAATTACAAAGTTTCTTCTCCCTTTAATAAATTCTTACTCAGTGGATAGGGTTGTTTTAATTTTTAAGCTACAGCAGAAAATTATCTTTGTGTGCTTACTCAGGTCTGCAAAAAGAAAAAAAAGTTTGAGAGGAAGTTTTAGTAGGTATTTGAGGTCACATTTGAATGTAGTTTCATCTTTGCCCTTTTCTATAACCACCACTCTGAGAGGCTCAATGCAATACATATTAGATCATGTGGGCATTGTTAGAGCCGCTTACAACCATGATGACTGAATGGACAGGAAGTTGAAATGACTAAAGAATTCATTGGAAGTCCAGATGTCGGGCTGCAAGCACAAAACTCTAAGAATGGCGCCTTTACACATTTCAGTTCTCAAAAAAGCTCATTGCACCTATCCGGACCATGAGCCATCAACCTGCTGACGCCCAGAAAACGGGCTATCACACCCACAAACACTTTAGGCAGGACGGGTGTCGCCCTGCTGGAATGACCCCGCAAAAAAAAAGTTTCCTTTTTTTCTTTGAAGCTTTTGCAACAGAAACTATCAGAGAAACTCGATCACTCACATGAACGTTTACTTCTGTTTTCCACAGTTTACATGTTGCATCAACATAAACAATTGAAACAGATCTGTGTGGGATTCGACGCGCAGACCCAAGCACGGCGAGTTGCTGTCGAATGGACGACCAGTGTGAAAGTGAAAGATGATTGTGGTGACTTTGTAAGTAAAAACGAATCCATTTCCTCTAAAGGCGACGTCTGCAAGTACACGATGCACCAGCTGAAAACTTGTACAAACGCACCAGAATCGTGATGCATGCGGCTGGGGAAAGGAATAGAAGGAGCCTGCAGCGCAGTGTGCAACTTATCACTCCTGCAGAAACTCACAGAGACGACTGAAGTGCACAAAAGCTGCCAGATGTTTGCTTGAAAGACTTTCTGGTGCTCCTTGGTGTTACAGTGTGAACCAACAGGACGGCTGAATCGACGGAGTGAGATATCAGCAGTCTAGTTTCAGGTAAAGTGTTTGAAACTGCTGATGGCAGATTCTGAGCACTGCTATGACCTCAGAAACAGGTTAGAAGGTAAGGGGTTAAAGTGCGGAGACAACAAAGAGACAACCTGACCGCACCAACACCTGATCAGATTCAGAAGTGTCATGCAGACAAACTGATGCAGCTTTGGCCTCCTTTTTTTTGTACTTGCACACAAGCCTTCTCTGATGCCATTCAGTAAATCTCTCTCATAGCCACCCACCCCCCTTTTTTTCTTTTCCTCTTTAGTGGTAAAAGGATGCAGCTTTATGTGTTTGTCATGTGGTGGCTTTTTTTTTACCAGTTCTGAAACAAGAGGTTTAACTACAGAAGTCCTTATTAGTAAAAATGTTGTTCCAGTGCCAAAGGTTTAACTCCACAAAGTTGTGTTATCAGTGTGAAATACTCAGCTCTGATGACTTCTCGATTCTGTGAAGAGCTGACTAAAAAGCTGATTCATGATATTAGCTGGTGTCGTCCCGCAGCAGCTCGTGAGGTCTCTTTTGTGGACGAAATGACGCCGACGAGAGACTTGTAGATGCATGAAGGGCTCTGTTCAAAAACCGGCTCTTTTCTGAATAAAATATATTTCGTTTACCGGCAGCCTCCAAATGTCACAACAGAAATCTCAGCTGAAAGTGGTTATTCATTTAAGGGTGTCCAATATGAGAGGAGTTTCCCATCACCAACTTAGAGCTGACTCAACAATTTTTTTTTTTACATAAATGCACTTTGAGGTTTCCGTTCAAATGTTTGAAATCTCTAAATAAACATATAAAGATTTTTTTTTCAAATGAAATAACTGTCAATAAAAAACAGAATATGTTTAAAAGAACTTTATTCTCGGCTCTTCCGAGACTTGAGCTGGAGTTAACTCGTCTTTGGTCATTTTAGTTGCAAGTATTTCTTGGAGGCTGGTCATAACGTACATCCTATAAATATCTCTACATTTCAAATAAAAAACATATGACAAGTAATTTAATAGATATAAGCAGCGAGTTGAGTACCTTTCTTTTTTGCCCCACTCATCCAAGACTAAAGGTTCAGCAGGGAAACCCGGATGCCCCTCCTCCACAGCAACCCCCTCCAGCTCTTCTTTGAGGGTCTCAAGGCGTCAAACTCTCCGGTGAGTTCTGGATCTTCTTCAGGTCTCCTCTCAGTGAAACGTACTCAGAAGACCTCCCSGGGAAGACAACCTTACAGTCTCCGATTCAATCTCTTCATGTTTTTATTCAACTAATTTGTAAAATAAATAAATAAATAAATAAAAAAGCTTCGTAGTTAGATGCAGAGTCAGTGCATCTGTCTCGCTCTCCCCACTCCTTCTGTCTTTTTGATGGCAAGGTGAAACCATAATGTGTGTTCCTGCTTTAACCAAAACATTGAGGACTTCAAACATGTGACACACCAGATCAGGAGGTTAGGTTTTTTTGTTTTTGTTTATTTTTGTTTATTTATTTAGTTTGTTTGGTTTTGCTTCTAGACTAACCAAGCATCAGAAACATATTTCAAATGAATAATGTCTTATATGTGGCCACTCTCCCCAATATTCGGCAGGACCTTGTATTTTTGGGGGTATACCCACAATAAATGAGCACATTTTCCCTCTCACAACTGTCTGTCAGTTTTATGACTGTCTTGTTTCTCTTTCATATATTTATGTGTCAAACTCAAGGCCTGCAGGCCAGATATGGTTCTTGTCTCCAATTTTATCCAGCTTACTAGAAAATATATCTAATGTATAAGAAGTGACGGGTCATGTTTGTCATTCTGCATGAAAATTAAGCTTCCTTCTTGCAGATTTATAATGACAATTAGTTAATATGAAACAGAGAAAATTCTGTTTAACAAAGGCAATCCAAGTGGAACAGTTCAAAGTGTTGGTGGTAAAGTTGCAGCCAAGAAAATATGTGTTATTTAGCTAATGTGCATGATAGCAACAACTGACAACCTGACAGATGGATCAGTGCAGCACATGCAGTACTGCGCACTTTGTGTCGGTCCGTTGTGGTGAAGAAGTAGTTGAACTGCAAGGTGGGTGAAGTGTCTTTCCCAAGAACACGACTGACGACTACAGGACAACTCCTCTAACCACACCGCCACAGCCGTCCAGTTGGGGTGGTTCAGGCTTTTGGTAAGGGTGTCCCCTGGCGCCGCATGTCCAATTAGGAGGAGACCCTAGTGAGGACATGTTAAAGAGACCATGGCTATGTCCAAATTCAAGGGCTGTGTCTTTCGAAGGACCTGGTCTAACCAGTCTAGGTGGGCCGGATCTTCGGTCGACCGGTAAAAAGTGACCGAATTTGGACCTGGGTCTTTCGAAGGACCTGGTCTAACCAGTCTAGGTGGGCCGGATCTTCGGTCGACCGGTAAAAAGTGACCGAATTTGGACGGTCTAGCCACCTGCTTTATACCGGCCCTTACCCTGGCGTATGTCACGTCGCCTAACAACTGTGATTATACTAAACAGAAGCAAAAATAATTTGAAATTAGCAAAATATCATACATTAATTTTTTTAAATTATAAATTAACAAAATTAGCCTAAAGGCAATATTAGAAGAAATAAAGGACTCACTGTATGTGTACATTTATTTCACATACAGCTCATTTGATTTCTGACAAGAATAATTTTTAAAAAACATGTCGATGCAAATGACAAAAGGATTAACAACACAACTGCTTTAAACTTTCAGTTTTATACTGCCAGATTTTTATTTAAAACTGTATTCCTTTGTCTCGCTACATCTGCCAGTACAAGCAAAAAAATCTCTGGTCRGCCCRCAACGCCTCATGGGRTAAGCTTGGCCGAGAAGGATCCACCAAGTCGGAGAAAAAGGAGGATGCATTTGTCGGCCGCGTCGGAGGAGTCTTTGAATTTGCACAGCCTCCGGTGTGGCGCAGTGACATAAGCGGCTGACAGACATAATCAATGAGAGTATTTACACTGGCTCCTCACAGCGCCGCAGGGCGGCAGTAAAAATCACGTTGCACCAACAGGAAAAAGAACAAGCCCAACGTCCATATTTTCAAAAGAATTCACAAAAGGCACGCTAATTTAGTCAAGATCCCAGCTATATTATTAAATAAGTGGATATTTTTATACATATATGCTGTCAAAATGTATCATTCTGTTTGGGAAGCACCTTTGGGATGGCAACATGTAGCGTGCAGCATATGTATAGCCTACACACATAATACACGTGGATTTTATTTTGAAATCAGACAGCGATGCAGTTTTATCTGTTTGGAGACTTTCCTTCATGGAATTATTACACATTCATTTTGCTCTGACTTCCACATTTATCATTCATCRCAGGCTCCTTGGACCTCCTCTGTGCTTCAAACCGGAGCGGAGTGGACGCTGTACAAATTGGGATGCAACTAACGGCGGCGAACTGCGCACCACAGCAGAGCGGAGCAGAACTGCATCTAGTGTAAATTAGGGGTAATTCATACTTCTTGGGAGATGTTCTAGGAATCTATCGTTTCATTCTCTTTGAAGAATTTTATTTGTACTTTTTTTTTACTTTATTGAACGTAATGGATTTAAAAGAAAAAACAAAGTTAAAGTAATTTTCGTATATCACATCTGAAGACGAGTGTTTGGTTTTTCTTTAAAGACTCACTGAGATCGGGCCTCGCGTTTTTAATTTGGTCCCCCCACATTTAAYTGAGTTTGACACCCCTGATTTAAAGGCTTGTTTTAAGGTTTGTTACAAATATAACTGAAAGCAGAGACGATGATGGCTGCAACTGTTGGTGAAAGTGAAAGCTGTCAGAATATTGTTTTCAGGTTTTTGCACTTATTGTGTCTTTCTGTAGTTAACGTAGGTGCTGGGGTGTTAGCCTAAACTTTTACACTGGGTTGTATTTAATTTCAATATGATACAAACAAATCTGTCAATTTATGATCATGAAAAAAAAGACAAAAGTTTAACATTTAGCTTTTTTTATTTGTTTCATGCATGGTTATGGCTTTTTAACACCTCTTCAGTGCAAATGTTTTACAGCRCAAACTGAAAACCTTCTTAGTGATGTGAAATTCTGGTTTTGATGCAATTTCATTAGCCTAAGTTGAGGTTGCACTCTGTCTTTTGGTTTATCTCACTTAGAGGAAAAATACACACACTGCATTATCATACCTGTACTAAGTGCTTGCGTTACTCAGCCCTTCACATTTTTTCTTCAGTTTWTCTCGAGATGGTATCATTCAGAGGTCATTAGTTACAAAACATMATATATAATCTCAAAATACCAGGGTTGCCTAACGTTAAAGGGTCGAGGCAGAACATCTGCAGGACAGACAAAATGATGACAGGTCAAGACAAGTGGACATTCCACGCAGCAAAACCAAAAAGTACTGAAGGGAAAACACTCCCTTCCTCTGCCACTTCTAAAAGTACCAGGGAACTTCTCCATACGGTTTCTCCTTTTCAGATTTTGTTCTTTATCAGCAGAATACTCAAACCTCAAGTCTGCTCACTGAAGAAGGCGGCGGGAAGCACGAGAACTACGTCGAAGCCCATCAGCTTCCCTCTCCTTCTGTCAGCGTTGTTACGTGTGTCTGACACACAGAGAGAATCCACGGCGTCATCAAACCACCACTTCATGTCGTTTCCATCCGGGTGGGCCGTTGTTGTTATTGAAACAAAAACCATGAAAAATACTAAATTGTCATTTCCTGCATTCTAGAGTGATTCTAGGAACTTTAACCGCTTTATTTTCACATGTGTGCCATGTTGACTGTTTATGAAAATTAAAGGTAGTCATTAGAAGAAAAAAGAATTTAATGAGTCATAAAATCTGCATAACCTTTTTCATWTATTGATGGTTAATGTGTCCTAAATTACATTTTAAAACAGTAAACACACTTTGTGATTAGCTGGTAACAACAATATGTTTGTTTAGCTGCTAAATCAGCTGAAATGACTGAATATAGGTCAAAACTGGCAATAGGGAAATATTGGTTCACTAACGTGCTGATTTGTTGAGTAAGCAGATAAAAAATATTTTATGATTCACATGATTCAAATTTTCACTTGTTTTTAGTGGATTCAGTCCACTGCTTTGTTTACGTTGAGCGTGTACCTGGATTTATTAATCACAAATCAACCAACATGGAAAAAATACTGAAATAAACTATTTAAAAACTGATCTAAATTTTACAGCTCAGATTTTTTACAGCTCAGGACTTTTTTTTTGTTTTAATTTTTTAGTTTGCAATGAGTATCTTTAAAGTGTGGATCCATAAAGACAACATTAGCAATTTAAAATAATTTAATAAAAATATTAAAAATTAAACATGATTTTATGGGTGTTATTGTTTGGTAGTCATTTTTATTTATTGTTAGATGGATTCCTTTTTGGTTCACCTAATAATTTTTTTGTGTTTTTCCTTGTGCCAGCTCTAGCCCCGCCCACTCTCACCTGTTCTCAGTCAGCATTAGTGCCACCTGTCTTCAGTCTCCTCACAAGTCCCTTTACAGTCTGTCATTGTGGGCTTCATGCCCTGTCAGGGTCCCCTCTGAGTCTCCTTATGTTGGGTTGTTCTTATTCACCTCCATGCTGGGCTTAGATTTTGAAATATTAAATCATATATTGTTTAAAAATAAAAAAAATCCAACCCTCCTCTTAACTGCAACAATTTCAATAAAATACTATTTAAAATAAACAAGAGAAATAGTATCAATATATAATAAGTCAAATATTTATTTAAAAATGATTTTATCATATGAAATTTCCAAATGTTTCCAATCATTTGATTTTTTTTTTTCCAGTGAACTTTAATCTTTCAATTAATCTACAAACTTCATGGAGGAGCAGCTCGCATGTAATACATGATTGGAGAGAGAGAGAGAGAGAGAGAGAGAGAGAGAGAGAGAGAGAGAGAGAGAGAGAGAGAGAGAGAGAGAAAAACACCCCTCTAATAAACTGGCTTGTTTGGC